AAATTAACTTTGGTTTAAATAGTGGGACTTCTTAGAAGCTGGCCTTCCCTAAGGCAGCCCCGGCACCCCCGCCAGGCTCCAGGACAAGTGGGGAGGTAATGCCCAGCAGCCGCAGCTCCCCCCCCCCCGCAAGGCACTGGGGAAAAAAAGGAGCAGCGGTGGCGGCAGGGGACATCTCGGCAATGCCCAGGCCATGGGGGGGGAAGAAGAGGCCTCCTCCTCCTCCCCCTCTCTCTCACTAGTCTGGGGGGGGGGCAGAGAAATCCCTGATGGCTGCCAAGATCCTCCACAGCCTGCGATGCCTGTCATGACGGTCAGCGCACAGCCTGCCCCGCCTCCCCCGGAGCACTGCATCCCTGCTCAAATTGCAGAGCCAGGCAGGGCGAAGCAGGCAGCGGCATCCAGGAGGGGAACGGCAGGGAAGAGGGAGAAAGAGATCCAGTGGGGGGGAGTGGGAAGTGGCAGCTGGGGGCTAGCAGCAGGACATTTTCCCCGGACTACCTGCCCGGGCTAGCCCGGCAAGACCGCCCGCCCTCCCACTGCCACCACTGAGGAAGCCAGGCACCTCCTGCTACTGGGGCTGCAGCCGCCTCTGTCGCCACCACTGCTGCCACCGCTGTTCTGGATGTTGAGATAAAATATATCTCCCAATCTTCCCCTAAATGTTCACTGGGGTTGCCAATCTCCCTGTGGGGCCTGGAGACCTCCCGGAAATCACAGTGTTCCCCAGCCACAGCACATCATTTCCCCTACTGAAAATTTCCCAGCTATTACAACTGATGTCCAGATGACCAAGATCGGTTATCCTGGAGACAATAGCTGCTTTGGGCAGTGGATTCTATGGCATTATACCCTGCTGAGTTCACTCCCCACCCTAAACTCTGCCCTCCCCACACTCTACCCCTCAAATCTACAGGTCTGGCCCTTTCCTTAGTATTGCCAACTTCCAGGGGGCACCTGGAGATCTCCAAGATCAGTTCTCCTGGAGAATATGGCTGCTTTGGGCAGTGGATTCAACGGCATTATACCCTGCTGAGTCCCCCCCCCACCCCAAACCCTGCCCTCCCCAGGCTCTACCCCTCAAATCTACAAGTCTGGCCCCTCTCTTAATATTGCCAACCTCCAGGGGGCACCTGGAGATCTCCAAGATCAGTTGTCCTGGAGAATATGGCTGCTTTGGGCAGTGGATTCTACGGCGTTATACTCTGCTGAGGTCCCCCCCCATCCCAGACCCAGCCCTCCCCACCCCAAACCCTGCCTTCCCCAGGCTTTACCCCTCAAATCTACAGGTATTTCCCAACCTAGAGTTGGCAACCCTGTAACTGGCTACGAAACCACTTTCCAGACTCTTGGAACCCAGGAAACATGGCACAGGAGGAGGTGCTTTTCTACCTTAGCTGCCACTGCATACCCCAAATCAACCTAAGTCACAGGTGGAGGGAACCATATCTATTACCATGTGGCTCTCCTTCCATTTTACCCACTTTAGGCAGCAAAATGACTTGAGACAGCCCTGCCTTATAGCTAAGCAGAAGGAAATAAACATGGCTTGCCTCCCTCTATTTTCCCCTTCCCTCCACCGCCCCACCAGCCACAGCTTGGACACTCACCTGGAGCTTCTTTTTAGAGCTCATTGTATTTCTTCCCACAACGGGCCTTACTCCTAGTCCCTTATAACTTGGTATGCAATCAAGCGAACCCTAGTTCTGGACAAACCTTTCCTCTTTACCTCTTGGGGGAGTTCCAGTTTAGACCGGTCATCTAGCCCATTTGAGTGCAAGCCCATCAGATAAGGGACAGGAGCATCTAGAAAGTGTAGGAGAGATGCTGGGAGGATAGGGACATATACATGCTGCCACTGGAAAGGAAACATCAGTGCTGTGATTGTCTCTGCCACAGTCATCAGTCTCTGGTAATCTAAAAAACATGAAAAAACAGTCACCACAAAGCTGCAACATTTATGTATTGATTTTTATTTAGAACGTTTCTATGCCATCTTTCCATCCAGACCAGGGCTCCCAAGGTGGCAAACATTAAAACATTTCAGTATTAAAACAATTATATAAACACAAACACATATACTAAGAGGGAAGAGGGCTAATAAGAGTTAGCGAGGGAATGCCAAACAAAACAAAAAAAGTCTTCATCAGCTGGCAGGAGACAATAGAAGGAAACGGACAAATCTTCCTGGGGAGGAAGTTCTGAAGTTTCAGCATCACAACTGAGAAGGCCCTTTCTCAGGTTACCACCTCAGATGGCAGGGACATCTGAAGCAGGTAGGCTTGCCAAGTCCCCCCGGGGGGCGGGGAAACCCCCACCCCAGAAGCCCATTCCCCGCCGCTGGCAGATCGGGCCCCAGGGGGAACCCCACCCCCAAAGTAGGCGAGGTGCACGTCACCCGGAAGTGACGCGACCACGCCAGGCACGCTGTGGGCGGGGCCACGGTCATCTGAGGGAAAACTCTATGGTTTTCCCTCGGATGGTCGTAGCCCCGCCCCCAGTGAGCCTGGCGTGGTCGCGTCACTTCCGGGTGACGGGGTTGTGGCGCGTGCGCGCTCCAGGACAAAGCTGGGAGTACCCCGCTTCAACACAAGGTAACACTTGGCAACCCTAGAAGCAGTGCCTTTGAGAATGACTGGAGTGGTTAGGTAGGTTCATATGGGAGTAGGCAGTCCTTAAGGCATGCTGGCCTCGAGCTATATAAGGCTTTAAAGGTCAATGTCAGCACCTCAAATTGGGGCCAGAACCAAATTATGCCCCAATGTAGATAGAACAAGAATGGAGTGATATGGTCCCTATGACCAACTCGAGTCAACATTCTGGCCACAGCATTCTATACCAACGGTAGCTTCCAGACAGTCTTCAAGGGCAAGCCCATATAGATTACATTACAGTAATCTAATAGAGACATTACCAGGGTATGCACCAATATATACAAATATCACAAAACAATGGCACTATGCTACAAAAATAAAGGACTGAACAACACAGATTCTAAAAACAATCAGCAATTATAAGTTTCTCTATGGTAATTAAAGTTAAATGTGACATGATTTCTCTACAAAGCACCATTAAAGTATGAAATACTGTACTTTGAGAACTACAAGGTAATATCAAAGGCATTCACTGACTTTCTATTCCAGTAGCCCATCACAACATGGGCACGTGCACAGGAAAAGATGCAGTCTGTAAAAATCCTCTGTGTATGTGCATTGTCTTTACAATAAACTATACTGTATGTGTTTAGGTTTTTTATAGCACATTTTCCTCAGTATTATTATTATATCAAATCACTGGCTTGGATTCTCCAGAGCACTATTTCGGATGGATTTCCAACCATAGACGTTTTCTCACCTCCTCCTTTCTGCTGTATCCTCAAATTCCCCCAAAATGCTGCTCCCTGGGGACAGGGGATCTTCAGGAGCAGCATTCCTGGGGGCATTTGCAACAGGAACGGTGAGAAAGTCATGCACAGAAACACTCTGGAACATTTATAATACAGAGGTGGTCTGCTTACACAGAAAATGTTTATTAAGTTTACTTTACCATGTACAGTAGCATCACAGGGACCTTAAGAACAATGAGAAAACTAGGTGTACAAATTCTTTTAATATATTTTTTTATAAATAATGCCCTTAAAATACTAATAATAAGCAAGACCATGCAACACATCAACTTTATTTTGAAAAGGAACTTTAAAATGGGAAACCACATAGTGAAAACAACCTTAACTTACAAATACCTCAGGCTTCTTTATTCTAACCAGTTCAGCTTACTTAGATAAGCATGCTTTTACAAGAAAACAATCTATTTATTAATTTAATTTTAACATTTTTGGATGAAAGACTATCTTATTTGAATGTGTGTATGCATACACTAAGTCACAGCTACAATTCCATAACTTTTTACACGTTGCATTTTGATTGCAGCATGATTCCTACACACAAATCTGAATGTATGGATGGACTTCATGTGAACTCAGTATCATTATTCACAGATTTTCTTCATAAAAAGCTAAGCACTTTACCTACCTACCACTATGTTATGGGGCCTTGTGAGGTTTTGTTGTGGACGGGACTCCCTCCCAAGAAGCCCCCCCAGCCCATCTTCCCTCTCCAGCCCTGTAGCAAACAAGGGCCTTAATTGGTTGGCACCACTTTGGTTCTTGGGCTTGACTGGGGAAGGCCTAGAACACCCTCCCTCCCACCAACAACCCTATCTACTTTATGGCTCAATATGCAGTGTGAAGGGTCCAGGCAGAGTGAACAAACAAGCAAACAAGACTAGTTTATTAAATAAATACTGTAACAGTTAATTAAATAATAGAACACTTATAAAAACAGAGTGTAGCATAACACACATGGCATAAATGTCAGGGATAGAAGCCAGCTGAAAAACAGTAACAGAACTGTCTTTATTGGACTTCTAACTCTATGTCAACATGTGATCCCCTTCAGGTCAGCTATCCCCACCAGGGTAAGAGATTAACTCCTACCAAAATCAGCCTCTTTGAAGCCCTGCTTCATGGAGTGCACACACCCGCCCTGTGCAGAACATTACAAACTCTTCCTCAAGGTTCTGTCTCCTTAACAGTTGATCAGCACTAAACTAAAGTATTATGTAAAAGCTAGTAGATCCTAGAATGCTTTATTCTGATATAGGAATGCTATTTTAAAAACCACTTTTTCATTATTTTAGACCATTTCTAATATCAAGTTTTTAAAATTAATGATTGTCATTAATTCTAGTACTTGAATCAAACATGCACGATTTATTTCCAATTGCTTGCATGTGCAGCCTCCTGACTGGACACATTCCAGTTTCCAAATACAGTACGGGGTTGGGGAGGCAGGAGCCCCTCCTCTCCCCACATCATGGTCCCAATCTAACTTAGGCCTCTGCTGCAGTTTTATACAGTAGTTTCTGCCAAGAACTCACAGCTGCAACATGGCTGCCAGTGCCTTTGGCAACTGGTGTAAAGCATAACACATCATTTGGTCCTGAGATCCCCAAAAGGGGATCCAGCACAGGAGGAGTGAGACCAATGGCCACTTCAGACATCACAAAATCTGCCTTAAGGGTTTAGGTCAGACATGTCCTGGAATTTCAGACTGTGGAAGGTCAGTAGTTCAGCAGTTCGAGACCTGGGTGCCGCATGATGGAGTGAGCTCCCGTCTCTAGTTCCAGCTCCTGCCAACCTAGCAGTTCGAAAGCAAGAAATTGCAAGTAGATAAATAGGTACCACTTCGGTGGGAAGGTAACAGCGTTCCGTGCGCCTTGGTGTTTAGTCATGCCGGCCATATGACCACGGAAACGTCTTCGGACAGCGCTGGCTCTTCGGCTTTGAAACGGAGATGAGCACCGCAACCTTGGGGTCAGATTCGACTGGCTTTCGAGCAAGGGAACCTTTACCTTTACCTTTAACTTAATTCACAAATGTGTGCAGGCTCAAATTAGATCAGGATGGCAGCACACGAGAAGAAAGGGCTTCAGTCTTTTCCCCCACTCTGAAACAGTCCAGGGAAGCCGCTATCTGCCTGTTGAGGAAATTTATATATACTAATGACTAAATGTAAGTTGCCAATGGGGCCATTTCAGATCTGGAAAACTATGCAGTGGGGAAGGTTCTTCTCCTTTCGTGTCACAGTACAAATCCAAATTGGGACTGTACGCACCTGGGAGTTGGGTTCCCCACACAAAAAACCAAGCATTCCTCTGACTTCAAGGTACTTGGTGTTCCCATAGACTTTGTAACATGTGAAATCGTTACACAAGTCCTGCAGGATGCATAGATAGTATTGACACTAGCCCTGGGCCCACTTTTCTTTTCTTTTTTTTTACTATAACCAGCACAGTTGTGGATTCCCATCTGAGACAACAGTTGAAAATATTTTAAAAATCTCTTCCCTATCAGTAAGGCAAACCAAAGATCAGTAAGGCAAACCGAAGTGGCCATACCACAGCCTCACAGGTAAAAGAATTAGGCTTTGGTCTTCATTGATAGTTGGTGACAACTTTTTTTTTTTTTTTAATTAAGAACAAACGTGAGATCAACTGGTGTGGCCAAAAAACACTTCCAGACCCAGAATATTTCGTGGAGAACTAACTGCCACTCTGCCTAAAAGTATAGAAATGGATTAGCGGCAAGGTTCGGATTAGAGAAAAAGATGGGGAAAAGCCATGACCTGTATATCTCAACACTGGTTAACAGGTAGATCTACACATAACTAAATCTAAAGAACAAAGATAGGCTCTCATATTTTGTTTAAAATGATCCACTATCTACTTTTCAGCTTTTTCTTTTGCTGCTGCTTCTTATTAATAAACTTTGGTATGAGATTAACCTGCTATTGCCAAAACTAGGATGAGACTGAATCAATTCTGTATAAGAGCAGGAGCTTATCTGCCTCATTGTGAGATAAAACAAGCACTAAAGAAGCCCATACCTATGAGTCTCTCCAGCCATCTCAGAGTGCACTGGACACTTAGAAGAAAGTCTTCTCTCTTCCATAAGATCTCAAAACAAGGAGACATAGACTAATGTATCACATTTCCTATATCACATTCAAGGCCAGGCCATCACTCTATATTTAATTTAAAAAGCAGAGAACCAGGTGTCCTTATTCTAGCCACTAGTTTATTTAAGGGGAAAATATGCATTTCAATGTGCTGTTAGGTATTTTCGGATGCTCATTCTCTCCACTAGTTGATTCCATTTGAGATACATAATATTTACTATTCCCTTTTTATTTTAATTACAAACACTGGTGACACTTTAAGCTTTATGACTGACTGGTAGCTACAAAAGAAAAGGATATACTCACGCTGTGAATAAAGCAATATCTGAAATTCCAAAAGAGCACAGGTAAAGAGTTGAACCATATTCTCCACACCGAGTAATTCAACAACTTCTTTAACTGGAAAGTCAAATAATGGCAACTCATTGGTGCTTGGCCTCTGGCAAGTAATTGGTCCATAAACACCTGAAAATTTTAGAGATCTTCCCGCTGGTGGAAGAGGAACTTCATAGAGTATATTGTAAATAAAGCTTTCCAAAGGTAATGGTGGTGGTTGAGGTGAAGTTACAGCTCTGTGGAGTTGCTCAAGTACTTTTCTACATGCCTTCATGAAAGACATTGGAGTTATCAGACAAATGCACTTAGAGACATATAGAGTGTCCCTACTAATATCATATGAGTTAAATCGCTGTAGCTTTGATACAGAGGTGCCATTACAGTCTTCTATGGTGCTACAGTTATCTTTGTCATTTGTAGGTGAGGTATGAAGAATATCATATTCTGCATTGTGCATGTGATACAGTGTCTGCATTGCACTACAGATTTGTTTGCTGGTAACTTCTTCATAAAATGTGAGAGAAAACCCAAATGTCCGTGAGCCGTCTTCACGGGTGATGATAAACGAATGGAACTGAGGTTCTCTGGCATCAGCTTGTGTCTTGAAAGACAGACCCTTAGGCATACACAGCTGAAAAGAAAGATTGAACAGCAAGGATATAATAATTCAGTAATCAATAGCTAAAATTACAATTTTATTTTCAAGTTTAACCTGTTCAGAGTCATCAGGTATAACGGAGGCAAATCGGAGAAGAATTTCTCCAGTAAAAGTGCCGCTGAAATAAACACCAGCAGACTGTACACAAATGACATGCAACACATTAATAAATGAACTCTTTATTCTGCCCTATAGTCTAAGAGCTACAAGTTTAATTATTCCAGGGATGTGTCCGTCCTGCTTCTGTCCTCACATGTTAAAAGATCCAGGATGGTCCTTCCCTAAAATTTCAGATACTGTTCATGTACAAGAAGCAGAAGAATGTGCTCCTTCAACTGGAAACTCACAGTGCTATATGCACTGAAGAAGTGGCAATGGCTGCTGAAGAACCAATTTGTGACTTCCCACATGTTAGTTATATAGCCACAGAGTACCTCCTGTTATCACGATTGATTATAATCTCATACGTGCATAGGCCCCATCTAGTCCTCATTCTTGTCCAGGTGTCAGTGTCAAACTAAATAGATTCACGTGTTAAGCACAGAGCTGCATCAATCTTCTCAAAAGAATTGGCGGAGTGCAATTTTAACAACAAAAGGGATGAGCAGGTGACACACATAAAGCCATCTTCTCTCCTATCACCCTTCATTGCTAACCTTCTTGCACCCCTGTCTCCAAGTGGTTTTCACCCAGCCAAGTATGCTCTAGGTATAAGAACTCTGATAAGTGGGGGGGGGGGGGGGGGGGAATAGAAGAAAAAGAAGATGTAGACAGAGGGAGGATTCTTCATTTCTCATCCGCAAGACAGGCCCACCCCCAAGATGAGCCGGGGCATGGAAGTAAGTAAGGAAGTACAAATTACGGTTAAGCAATTTGAAAGCACTGGCTTGTATCAAACAATGTGCAAACGGAAGTATGAACAGACTTCATGCAGTTTTGCTTGCACAAGATTTTATGCAGTGCCTAGCACTATCTCTCTAGATATTATAGTACCCAGATGTTTATTGCACAAGATCTTGCACAAACAGAAACACAAGTGGGGTGTACAATGAGTTTTACTTAGCACAAGCAAACAGTTACCAGGGTCTTTTTCTTGTGTTGCTGCTTGTGCAAGAGCTGTGGCACAAGAATGGAAACTTTGTGCTGGATCTAACCCATTATATTTGTAGCATCCCATTTTCTAAATTAACTTTAAGAATACAAGTAACTAACCATTCCCACTGCATCTTGATCAAAGGGATTCCATTCAACATTTTCAGGATAACGAGCAAGAACTTTGGACTTGAATGTGCGTCTTAATGGAGTCTGTTCAAAATTTTCACCTGAAAAATTAAGGAAAAAGAAGTCCATTACAATATATCCATTCCATACATTTCTGTATAGAAGCCAGAAAGCACATTATTTAGTAGTAAGAGGATTAAGATCAAGTATTTCCTTGAAGAGAAACAGGAAATGAAAAGTAGTGATTAGCAAAGGAGAGTGAGTAGCGTGAAGTTGTAACACTGGCAGTAACTTGCATACAATTATCTATCTGTGCCTTTCCAGTAAGTAAACCAGGCTATTTTATTGGCTTTATATGTTTCAGAAATTTATTATGTATGTGGGTGTTTACATTTGTTCATCACAACAAATATAATTTTAAAAGTTATTTAGGAAATGCACACATAGGTAAGAGAGGCAAAACATAAGCAAAAAAGTTTAAACACGTAAATAGACCAATTTCAATAGTTTTATCTTGTGTTTACGTTTTGAATCCATCATCTGTTACAGAAATCAGCTGTGAAGGGAAATCCAGAAGGCACAAAATGGTCAAGGGACAGAAACACTAGAAAAGAAATATCCATATGAATCAAGGTTTTGGTTTTTCCCCATTTTTGTTTTACCTTCTGCAGAACTGGAAATGAAACGGCCACCACCATCTTGGGCTTTAGAGGCCTGTATATACTGGCATAATGCTATATAACAAATAAAAAGAACACTGCATTATAATTTAATAGTGTAAACGCTTATTGCAGCTATAGATCTGTTTCTAAGCAACTCTGCCCAAATCCAGTGAAATACAGCAAGTTCGACACAGTATTTGCAAGTTCTAGGAGGTTACCAAGGATATCGTTTTCACACTATAGGAAATTAATGATTAAAATATTGGCAATCCACACACATACTATGAATGCAAATGCTTTCTAAATAAGAAGGACATTTTTTACTCCAAAAATAAAACTTTATCACCTTCATTTAATGAATAGGGAAATGAGTATGCAGAGAGATGACAGCTGCTACAACAATAAGGCAGAATTACATGAAACAACATGTTTCAAGTAAACTCAAAAGCTTTTATCACCACCTGCCAAATGGGATGGGGAAGCCATTTCAGTCCATTTATTCTCCAGTACATTATAATTAAATGGCAAAAATGCTGATTTTGTAATTGTTGCTGTGCTGCACTTTATTAATGTAAAACAACTCTAAATTACACTTCTATGTTAACTCAAAGAGCTTAGAGAAGCTTCAGAGCATACAAAATTGTTCAGTCACAACAACACTGAAGATATGTGACAACATAAAGGTATTCGCAAGAGTTTTACTTTAAAAATTGATTAAGGCCTCTGACAAATGGAGTAAACCTGTATACCACACAGCAAGCTGCATGGAGGAATTAATTAAATATTTAATTCCGATTCTAAGGCAGGCACAGAGACTGCCAACTACAAGTGTGATGCCACCTCCTTTCTAAGGAGCAGACATCATCACTAATGCCACCCCCATTTAGATGGAGCTGCCTATTCAGGAAGCACCGTCCTTATCACTTTGCCCTCCCCTTTCATTTGCCAGAAAATCAACACTTATCAGGTAGGGATATAAAATAGGTAAAGGTAAAGGTTCCCTTGCTTGAAAGCCAGTCGAATCCGACTCTAGGGTTGCGGTGCTCATCTCCGTTTCAAAGCCGAAGAGCCAGCGCTGTCCGAAGACGTTTCCGTGGTCATGTGGCCGGCATGACTAATCACCAAGGTGCACGGAACGCTGTTACCTTCCCACTGAACTGGTGCCTAATTATCTACTTGCAATTTCTTGCTTTCAAACTGCTAAGTTGGCAGGAGTGGGATATAAAATACTGAATGATTCATATTAGTGTATATATAAGAAATTACAAATAGGCATTTGTCTCTGCCATCTTTCCTACTCAGGATGGGCACTTAGCAAAAATCACGATAGCCTGCTTTAGCAGTGTGCAACATAAGTTCCACAGAGCCCCATTTGCTGGCAACTGAGGAGGCAACTTTAATTACTATTGCAGTTATATAGAGTCCCTCACAGTGAAGTTCTAACCATGAAGAAGGCAGGTCACGTAGATCCTAATCAGTCCACTACAGAAGTAAACTGTAAGATGATGACTTAGGCAGATCAAGATTCACGGTTCCTAGAACTCAGCGTGTAAGAGGGGGAACAGAGTCTTTCAAAACCTGCAGCCAGTCTTGAGTCCTGATTAGGTGTGTGCAATTTGGTACAAACCGAACCAAATAAATACTCAAAAAATACCTCATTGGTATCTTTTGGGTATTTATTAAGGCGAATCAGAGATCTGTATTTGGCTACCAAAATCAACCCTGACTGTTCCCTGGAAGGCCAGATAATGAAACTGAAGCTCAAATACTTTGGCCACCAAATGAGAAGGGAGCACTCACTGGAGAAGACCCTGATGCTGGGAAAGATTGAAGGTCAAAGAAGACGGGGACGGCAAAGGATGAGATGGTTAGACAGTGTCATAGATGCAACGAACATGAAATTGAGCAACCTTCAGAGGACGGCGGAAGACAGGAAGGCCTGGTGTGATCTGATCCATGGGGTCGCGAAGAGTCGGACTCGACTGTGCGACTGAACAACAACAACAACAACAGATGGCTCAGCCTGAAAAGCTGATGTTTTTCACCTTTTATTTGGGTGAGAAAGCCTCAGCCGAGTGGCACAGAGGGCTATCAGCTCCACACCGCCCCAGCTGATCCTCTTTTGCAGCTCCGGGCCACCAGCCCAGGATTGGCCGGGGCAGTGGGAGCTGACAGTTCTACACTGCCCCAGCTGATCTTCCCCCAAAACCAATCTGCACACAACTGGGAGGGCAGATAGTGGGGCTCCCCACTTCTGATGGAATTCTTCTGAACCTTGCTGACTCTGTTAAAAACCTTGGTGTTATACTGGATCCAACTTTATTACTGGAGAAGCAAGTTAATGCAGCTGCAAAAAAGGCTTTCTTCTGACTCAGCCTGTAAAACGGCCCCTTACCTTGATACAGGTAATCTGGCCACCTGGATCCATGCCACAGTAACATCAAAACTATACTACTGTAATGCACTGTACATTGGCCTCCCCTCAAAATCAATTAGGATGCTCCAGTTGGTACAGAAAGCCACAGCTTGGCTATTATCAGGCTCTAGACAGAACAAGCATATCTTTGCTTGTTGCCCCCTCGTCCAGCAGTGGGGCCAGGACACTAGAAGCCCCCCCACTGTTGCCCCCCCCAACCACCAAGAATACAGAGCGTCACTTGCCCCAGACTGAGAGTCCCTATCTATACCTTGGGGCTAATAGACACTGATGGACTTCTGCTCCATATCTACATATCAGGGGCACTTGGCGGGCAGAGAGATTTTCCTGCACACTTGGAGCAGTCCCCAGGTGTGTAGAAAAATCTAAAAAGTTGAAAAAAATATACGGGGATATTTAAATCCCCCCAAAAGTAAAAGCGTTCCCTGCGCATGTGCAGAGAATGCTCTGGCCATTGGGGGAGAGGCCCGGGAGGTCCGGCAGGCCCGGAGGCTGGGAGCCACTCAGGCCTTGCCACTGGTGCCAGGGGGGAGCAGGAGAAGGTTCAGTGGGCCTGGTAGCTGGAAGCCGCTCAGGCCACGCCACCGGTCCTCGGGGGGAGTGGGAGAAGGCTCGGCAGGCCCACGCCGCTCACTGCCATGCAGGGGGGCAAGGGAAAAGGATTGTGGGCCCAGCAACTGGAAGCCACATGGGCCTCTCCGTCAGTGCCGGGGGGTTGGGGGGGAGAAGGATTGGCGGGCCCGGGCACCACCGTCGGTGCAGGGGGGAGAAGGCTCACCTGTGGCTGCTTCTTCCTCCTCCGCTACGTGGAGTTTCTTCTCCCCCCCACGAGTATCGCGGGTCCCCACTTCTTGTTATTCCTGTTCTGCAGACATTCCATTAGCTGCCCATTTGTTACTGGGCTGAATTTAAGGTACTGGCTATCACTTACAAAGCCCTTCATGGCCTCGATCCCTCTGATCTGCAGGACCACTTCTCTCCCTATGCTCTGTCATGATAGCTTCGCCCATCTCAGCCGGGCCTTCTACAGGTGCCAACCTGCGAAAGGGCAAAATCAGCAACTGCCCATACATGTGCTTTCTGCATTGTGGCCCCCACCTTATGGAATGGCCTGCCTGAGGAAGTCAGAAAGGCTTTCTCTTGAAAACTATGCAAAACTGAATTATTCAAGAGGGCTTTTCTGCACAGGTAATGGGATGTACTGTACAAACTGGTTCACAAAGTTACTTGGATAAATGATTAGGGACTGTGGTCTATACTACTGTATACAGGTTACTATATGTAGGATCCTACTATATAATTTTTGCACTGTTTAATGTGTCATGTTAATACCTATGCTATTCTTCAGTTCTGTCTTTTAGATTTCTGGTTAGTTCCAGACATCTACATTCCTAATTCTATTCCATTGTTAATTGAATTGTCCCATCTTGTTAATTGTACTACCTCACTCAGCATAATCGGCTTTGAGTCGAAGTGAGAAAGGGGAACTATAACGTAAATAAAGAAAGTGTTCAGCAAATGGAAGACAATAATTCAACTGATGTTTTTAGGTCAATGTCATGCCTCAGCTACCAAAGATATTATGTTCTATCTATACTATTACCTAACAATTCACATTGGTACCTAATAATTCACACAAACAAGGAACACACTGTTCTGAAAAGAAGGCAACTAAGCCTAATGACAGTTTTGCCTGTATGGCCTTACACCATAAAATCTACCCAAAATATCATACCTAGTAAAACCAGAGCACAGTTCAGAAATTCAGTTACCTTTCACCTCAGATCTGACATGAGTAACTGGTGACCCAAATGCAACAAAAGAAGAAGAGTTGGATTTATACCCACCCTTCACTCGGCGTCTCAGAGTGGCTTACAATCCCCTTCCCTTCCTCTCCCCACAACAGACACCCTGTAAGGTAGGTGGGGTTGAGAGAGCTCTGAGAGAACTGCTCTTGGGAGAACAGCTCTGAGAGAACTGTGACTGACCCAAGGTCACCCAGCTGGCTGCATGTGGAAGAGTGGGGAATCAAACCCAGTTCTTCAGAACAGAGTCTGCCACTCTTAACCACCACACCATACTGGCAATGTCATATCAAATGAATTATTTTTCCTGTACGAACTCCTACAGACAAGACTAAATATTATACAGAAATAACAAAAAGAATTTAAATGGACTTTCTAATTTGGGTGAGAGGGGGATACATAAATATCTGTTTAGCAAGATTTCACAAAACTACAACAGTTTAAGATATAGCCAGCCTTATACTATACTAGGGTTACCAGATGTCTTCTTTTTGTGTGTCCGTCCTCTTTTGGCCTCTTTTTAAAAAACGGATGAAAATATCCTGTTTCTGAGTTGGAAGGTTAGGAATATTCCCAGTAAGTAGCAGTTATCACAGCTTAAATAGTAGGGGTATTTCAAATGAGATTTGTCATACTGATCACTTGTTGGAAATAGTCAGTCGGGAAATACATCCACTTTTTTGCTTTTCAAAATATGTTAACCCTAACTATACATACTACAGGTTTAGTATAAAATTCTAATTCTTCATCCATGAAATTAAAGATGCCAAGCTGTTTCAACAAAGCTGAATACGGTGAGCTTGTTGTTTGTTTGTTTTTAAAAATCAAAGACTATCTAAATTTCTAAGTCAAATTCAAGCAGCTTTGCACTTGGCAAATATGTTGGACAGCTAACATGCAGATCGGTAAAAACCGCTTGAGAGCACAGAAGTAAATTTATAACCTTTATTCTCAAACCCACACTTTTTAAAGCTGCCCAACATAAAAACAGGGTGTCACAATGTTGTACATAAAGCCTACAGCTCCAAAAAAGCTTCAGCAGAGTACAGCTGCTCTTACTTACATCAGCCACTCCATTCTTTACGGCAGTATCAGCTACCATAGCACGTCTGCCTCAGTTCCCAAAGAAACAAAAGAGCTCTTTGGTATTCCACAACATGGGGAACAACACAGACTCCTTCAAGGCAAAGAAGGAAGCTGGATGATCTTCTAGGACAACGTTTACAACTCGAACAGAGCATCTCACAGGTTCCATTACGACCTACTCTTACTGTCCAATACCCACTGCAGAGTTACAAAAATAAAAGCCTTTTCATATTGCATAAGGGCTTCCCCCACGGCCTTCAATGCAACAACAGCACATGTTTAATGGGTATACAGAACTGCCCCCACTACTAATGTCAAAGATAATTCATCTGAGGAGAATGTGCTTTAGATTTAAAGTGTGTTCAAAACTTGGGACTGAACCAATGCTCCCTCTAAGCTGTGGAGTCTTGTGAGCAAAAATTCAACTTTGTGAACTACTGGCATTTAAAGTTGTGAGCGAGCAATTCGGCTACTGCATAAATCAGTTTGTTTGGAGCCATCCTTCCTGAGCAAAGAAAAAAATTTGTGAGCCGGAGGCTAATAGGCTGTGAGCTAACTCACACTTACTCAGCTTAGAGGGAACACTGGACTGAACCAGGGTGACAAAGCTGGTGCTGGAACCAGTGTTCCCTCTAAGCTGAGTTAGTGTGAGCTAGCTCACAGCTTTTTAGCCTCTGGCTCACACATTTTTGTCTTAGCTCAGGAAGGATGGCTCCAGAGCAAACTTAATTTTTGCAGTACCCAAATCACCTGCTCACAACTTTAATACCAGTAGCTCGCAAAGTAGAATTTTTGTTCACAGGACTCCATAGAGGGAGCATTGGTTGGAACTTCAAAAAGGATGTGGACAGAATGGAGCATGTGCAGAGGAGAGCAATGAGGATGATGGGGGCCTGGAGACCAAGTCCAATGAGGAAAGCTGAGGGACTTGGGGATGTTTCGTCTGAAGAAGAGGAGGTTAAAGGGGGACATGATTGCTCTCTTTAAGTATTTGAAGGGCTGTCACTTAGAGGAGGGCAGGGAGCTGTTCCTTTTTGAAATAATGAGTTTAAATTAAGGGTGGGAAGGTACCAGCTGGATATTAGGAAACACTTTTTGACAGTAAGAGTTGTGCAACAGTGGAATCAGCTGCCTAGGGAGGTGGTGAGCTCCCCCTCACTGGCGGTCTTCAAGCAGCATCTGGACAAGCACTTGCCAGGGATACTGCAGGCTGGTCCTGCATTGAACAGGGGGTTGGACTAGATGGCTTGTATGGCCCCTTCCAACTCTGTGATTCTATGATTCTATGTGGCTGATCCACTACATCTAGTTTGCCCATCACAGGAACTACATAAAAGAGGAGTAATGAACTCAGAGAAGACTGAAAGTACTAATTTAAAGTATTTCCAGACAGCCTCTCAACCATAGTTTCTGAAGCAATTCACAACAAGATGCAAAGAACAAACACATAAAAATATCAGTATCAATTCAATGAAAATCAGCAGCTGTTAAAGCAAAATTTAAAAAGCCAGGAACATTTCAGTGAAGACCAGTTACAAAACACAAATTATCACCAAATGCCTTGGAAGAATAAGAAAGCAATCATGTACTGCCTAAAAGTCAAGTAAGCAAGCCCTATGTGAACTGCTGTAGTGAGGAAGTTTCATAGGCAAGGAGCCATTAAAGAAAAGGTCCTTTCGCAGCCACCTATACCATTTCAGATGATGGGGACACACAGAGCAAAGGCTCTGACAATTATCTTAATGTCTGGGGAGATTCATAAAGAAGAAAGCAGTCACTCAGGTACCCTGGTGATAGAAAGTTAGTGTGTTAAAAAGCAACTACCAGGGCTTTAAATTGTGTTTAGAAATAAACTGGAAGTATACAAGTTAACAGTCTTGCAGCTGCATTCTGCACCAACTGGAATTTTTGGATAGTCTTCAAATACAGCACTACATAAAATACATCACAGCAGCCAACCTGGATGTGATCACAGCACGGATAACAGAAGCTGGATCTCATTTTTCAGGATAGACTACAAAAGGCAAATCAGTTGAGGATGACTAAAAACCATCTGAAGAGGCAGATCTATTCATAACCCCAAGCTGTACTTCAGGGAAAGGCAACCACATCTAAATTCCTCATTACCTAATTAACCACATCTCATTACCTACATCTTGTCTGTTGATTGGAGATAAATGTACAAGGACCAAGTCTACTACTTGACCAAGTCTGATGAAAAGGAGAAGTAAACTATCAATCCATGTAACTGATGACGATTTATTCTAAATCTCTGGACAACCTTCCCCAGGAGTGTAATGCAGATGTTAAACAGAGTGGGGATTAGACAGGATTCCATGCAGGATTCCATAATGCAAGTGCTGCAGGGTCAAGCAGTAGTCCCAAAGCACTGCCTACTGCCAGACAACTGATAGTCTCAGTCAGACAGAAGCAAAATCACTGGAGTACAATGCACCCAAATGTCTCACTCTACCTATCAGTCCAAAAAGATACCACAGTTGATTATAATGAATGTCCCCAAGAGATCTTGGAGAATCAAGAATGTCCCAGCAAAGCCATTAGGATGATTAAGGCAGTTTCAGCCCCCAAACTGTTCTGAAACTGGTTTGTATTAAATTGATAATCTGCTTCCTTCAAGAAAGACTGGTCTGCCCATATTTTCAGCCAACTCACTGATCCTACACAAGGCTGGTGTTTATAAAGAAACAAACTGGGTCTGTGTTCTAGTTGCACATGAAGGGAAGAAAAAGAAAAGACAATCTGGAGCTCCCAAGCTATGCATTGGCTCCATGATATATTTAGCATTAAGGAGGAATTAGTGTCACTCTTCCTGTCCCTCTAGCCTGGTCATGCTGAAGAATAATACTGATCAATTTTGTGTGGAGGAGCCAGCGTGACATAATTGCTTCGGTGTCAAGTTTGGATGTGAGCAAACCAGATTAAGATATCTCCACTTAGGCCCAAACTATACATGATGACCCCATTTAAAACAAATCAAGTTGTTTCTAGTGGGGCCAGATAGGAGCAAAGCAGTTGAAGTGGTGTTTAATCTATTTTTCTTCCAAATACCTTATCCATGGTATTTGTGACATGTTTCAAAACCCATGAAAAGGAATCCACTTGAAGAAAACCTCTACTGAGAAAAGGGTAAGCACCCCCTTTCACCCATGTCTCTGCTTCCACTCACTCCACAGGAATCAACTTTGCCTGTTTTAAAGGGACTATGAAGCTATCAGTAAATACATCTGCAAGTAATATACAGTTTGGGTCTCATCCATGCAGATGACTGGGGCCCCTGCCACATGGCAGGGAAAACACCGGTGAAAGTGCGGCTAAGTAAAGCAGCACCAAAATAGAGACGCTGCGGGCGGGATCCCACGGATCCCGTGAGCCACGTGCCGTTGCTCCCCGGCACGATAAGATGCCGGGGAGGAAGAGACGAGGGGGAGGGGAAGGCTGCCGAACTGCGCATGCTCGAGCATGCACAGTTCAGCCGGGGGGCGGGGATGCGCCGGCGCAAGGACGCGCCGCCGATCTCACGGCCACACTTGCCGCGGCCCTTTCAATTGAACCACCCGGTTAGGTGGTTCTTTTTTGGTGTGCTTTTTGAGCGGAAGGGACGGATGGGGGACGGGCACAGCACGATTTCCAGATGTTGCTGTGGGATCACGCCCGTTTGCTGCGGCCCCGATCCGTCCCTCTCCCGGCCCAAAACCCCTCGTGTGAACAGGGCCTGGGTTACAACTTGAACAGAGCATTTCACAGGTTCCATTACAACCTACTCTTACCATCCAATATACTGCAAAGTTACAAAAATAAAAGCCTTTTCATATTGCATAAGGGCTTCCCCCACAGCCTTCAATGCAACAACAGCAAGTGGCCTACCTTGCAGAGCTTACTTTCTTGATTAATCCCAAAAAATTAGAAGCTTGCCCTTAGCTTCTGTGTGGGTAGTCCAAGGAACTGGTGGCAGATACCAAGACTGGTGAGTGTGTGGACACACACCCCAGGTTTTTTTTGTAATTTTGTGTTCTGCCAGCCAGTACCAAAAATCCTTTGGATTGGGGATTCTTGAGGGTATATGTTTGGACTGGATATATCCAAGATCTGCAGTGGCTGCTCATCTATTTTCTGGCACAATGCAAAGTGCAGGTGTGAAGGCAAGAGCCTTTAAGCCCTAAATGGCTTTGGGTCAGGTTATCTGAAGGACTGCCTCCTCTCAACCTAACAGTTAAGTTCCTCTTTTGAAGCCCTGCTCTTTATGAACCTGCCCTCAGAGGTGAAACAGTAGCAACCAGAGACAGGGCTCTTTCAGTGGTGGCAGCTCATCTTCGAAATGCCCTCCCCCATGGGACTCACCTGGGGCCCACCTTACTTTCTTTTAGGCGCCAGGCTAAAACATTCCTTTTTAACCCAGGCTTTTAACTATGGGGTTTTATCATTTAACTAAGGGAGCTCAATGTTTAATGGTCTGCTTCTGCCTCGAGGATAATATTATCTACATCATTGTAGCCTGCCCTATGTATAGTTTATGTTGTTGTTATACCCTGGCTTGTTTTAGTGGCTCTGACCTATTTTTTAATGCTTGATTTAATGGCTTTTAAAAATTAGTTATAAGCCACCTCAGACAGGTCACTGGAGAAGAGGCATGTAAATGTTCTAAATAAATAAATAATATACTGGTGCATGTAGGCCTTCTATTTTTATATTATACATACTTTTCCAACTTCTGAAATGATTACATGTCTAACAGAACAGTCTTCAGCAATCTATTTATACATGCCCTTAACTAGCCATTTATTGTTGGTGCAAGAGTTTTTATGCTTCATTAAGTTCCGCTTTGTTAATCACTGTAATAGAGAAAGCCAATCCACAGGTACATTTATTTGCATGCACAGTTATGACCCTTCAATGATATAATAAGCAGAGCAAGAATAGAAGTCTACTACAGCACATCTAGGGCTTTGGGGTGTGTGGGTTAAGCGTTGTCAAGCTGCCTTTGCCTTATGGTGACCC